CGGGGGGGGGGGCTTTGGGGAGAAAAAGGAAAAAAATAAAATCTTTAAAAAAACAAAAAAAAAAAAAGAAAAAACTCTTTAATAAATTTTTTCATCACTAATAAAGCCACCAACACAGAAAAAGACAAACATAAGTATTTTAAATGAGATGTACAGTACACTATGAGAACAGTGAACTAGCTAATCACTAATCCAGGTAAGAACCTACTAATAAATATTAAGATAAATATGACAGTATGGTTACTGAATCATTAGGTTCAATTCTCTAAAGTACAGAACAACAGGATAGGCCAGTCTCTGCTTTAAAAATACCCTCTGCAGGGGCTGGCCCCGTGGCCGAGTGGTTAAGTTCACGCGCTCCGCTGCAGGCGGCCCAGTGTTTCGTTGGTTCGAATCCTGGGCACGGACATGGCACTGCTCATCAGACCACGCTGAGGCAGCATTCCACATGCCACAACTAGAAGGACCCACAACGAAATACACAACTATGTACCGGGGGGCTTTGGGGAGAAAAAAGGAGAAAAATAAAATCTTAAAACAAACAAACAAACGAACAAAAAAAAAACCCTCTGCAAATAGTAAGAAAAGTAACATTTCATCTTGATTCAAATATTAGCTTTATTTAATAATGACTTAAATTCTAACTTTTGATCATTAACCTAGAGAAAAAGGCCACCTAATCAACCATTATTGCATAAATTATGCCTCTGAATCATACTAACAACCTGGCCTCTTTTTTATGTTCTACATTTTGATTAATGAAAAAACAGCAAAATTTTAAACGTCACTAAAGATACATAATCAAGCAGAATGATTCTGACTAACCCAAGCTCAGCTCAATCACACAGCCAAGTAAGGGGCATAAACATGGCAGTAACAAGTCAGGAATGCCACATGGGATACTGAATTTCCACTGAATATTAAACTCAGGACCATTTAACATGTTCTATGTTATCAGCAAAAGAAAATTATAACGTGAATAATTTAAAAAAAACATAAATTAAATATAGCTGAAGACAATAACCTCCCACCACAGTAGCCTATGAGCCTCTCAAAGATTCTCCAATGGATTTCTATAAGTAAACTATATTATATTATAAATTCCTAGCTAATTAGTAATGTATTCTCATATTTCCTTTTAAATTAACCTTAGCACCTAGGACTGCACAGAAGATATGTAAACACTTATCTACTTAATAAAACAACAACATTGTGACACATCACTTTTATAGTAATAATTGAGGGTTTTGTGGGAGTTGATTTAAGTTAATATGAAAGCACACCAAGAAAACTGAATGATTTTTTTTTTCAATCTACCTAAGAATAATTATGGCAATAAAACACTGTGAAAACAAATTTAGAATGCATTTTATCATTAAGAAACTGTTCGGATAGCTTTTTCTACAAAAATGTACTCTCAATTAAAACCAAAGTAACATCTGTCACTTTCTACATAAAAAGACCAATCCCATAAATATAATGTAGCAATTTAAAGGAAAAGTGACAATTTCATGAAATTGAAAAACTGGTACAGATGAGAAATTCCTGATATCTTACTTCCACTCTTTTAATATCCTCTTCCAAGACACTTAGCTCCTTCTGGATTTGTTCCAGCTGCTGTAGATAAAAGAAAAAGAAAAAGCTTAAACCAAACCACACTGGCATCACCAGGATCATAAAATAACTTTACATTTGGAAAATGATTTCTAGGAAACTGGGCACTATTGACAAATTGTAGGGATGAAAACCTGCACACAAAAAGAGTTGGAAGTCCCCATGTTAAAATATAAATGTAGAGACTTAATATTTAAGAAAATACAATATTGTCCTTCTTTAATACAAGGATCGACTTCACAATAAACATATGAAAGACGAACAATAATTACAAGGTGACCTAATAAACATACAAGACACCCAAAGAACTTGTCTTTCAAATTACCTCATTTAACTGTCAGCAATTAATGTCAGCATGTCAGTTGTTCATCCCATTTTAAAAATAAAAATTAGTCTCACAGACGTTAAATCCCACCACTCAAAAGCAATCACGGGTTAGGATCTTAACACTTCCTTCTTAAGCATTTTTAAAAACATATTTAAGATAATGTTTTCTCTTTGATATCTGCTACATCATAACCTTTTCCCATGCCATTAAAATGCAAACATTTTTATTGTGGAATCATATTCAATAATATATTTAACCATTCCCCTTTCAATAGAGATTTAAGTTGTTTGCAAACTATTATAAGTAATTCTGGAACATATGAGTCTGTACTTCAAATTTTATTAAGAGATTATTAAAAATGAAATTATTCGATCAAAAGAAATAGAGTTAGAAACTCTTCACTATATAAAACAAAACTGCTTTTCAGAAACACTATACAAAGTTAAATTTCTATCACCAGCATACATAAGACTACCTTAATCTAACCCAAATATATTGAACCAATTTTTAAAATGTAAAACAATAATGAATACTTATGTAATACTTATCATCAGATGTGAAACAGGTCAATTAAACATTAGGAAAATGAAGCACAGAAAGATTAAATGACTTGCCCAAGATCATTGAGCATGTAAGTGGCAGAACTTGAGTTCAAATCAAAGCAGCCTTCTTGCTCCAGAAGTCATGCTGTTAACCACCTAAGCTATACTACTTCTTGAAAGCAGTACCTCATTATTTAACTTTCATTTCTTTAATGACTGGTAAGGATAATAGACTTTTAAGATTTATTAACATCAGCATCTTCTCTTCTGTGGGAATACATGCAAAGTAGATAATACAATTAATAATTTACTAATTCAAATACTTAGCAATCCTAAGCATTTTGCAAAATACTGAAAATAGGATCTAGAAAACTATAGCCCTTGCCCTCAAGGAACTCAGTTTAGGGGAAACGCAAAACAAGTAAGCCAACGGTTGAAATATCACAGTAAGCATTAGGATGATGGTCTGCACACAGAATTTAGGGAACATAGATTGCTCCTAACCTAGATGGAAAACTCAGCAGGATAGCAGAGGCAACTGGATAACTGAAATTAGATCTGAAACTAAATGAAAGGTTGAGCCTTGAAGGACTAATAGAATTGTGCCAGGTGGAAAACAGTAGGGAAAGACAGAATAAGCAGGATAAATAATAATATGTACAAAGGCATAACAGCTATGAGAAAGGGAAATAACAAATTTGAAGCTATGATAATGAATGAAAATACCCAATACCAACCAGTATAGTCAGAAGAGATAAGGAAAAAAACCTGGAGAGTAGGGAATGCCAATGTTTAAGAGATTGGCAAAGGAAGATGGAGCAAGCCCTGCATTAACTATCAAGAAGGGGAGAGCACACTATCACAGAAATCTTTCCTACACCTGAACACTTTTCACGGTACTCCTAACCTTAACACTGAAACCCTGCTCTTCCTCAAAGACAGTCTGTCTTGGAACGCTTTCAAATAAAAGCTGGTCAAAATTCTCTCATGCACCAGGCTTCTCAGGACTAGGTGGGAACTGACCACTTGTACTGTATTCCATGACCATTTCTAATCATTAGTCTTCCACTCTCACATAAGAACCACTCTGGTCTGGCTCAATCCAAGCAGCCACGTCTCTCTTTACTGATCTCAGCCATTGATAAACATCCTAATTGCTTCCCACCAACACTGAAGCCTTTTGTCTTTTGGTTCACACACATTTTCAACTCCAGTAATCTCAACCTCTAATTTAGCAAAGCATCCCATGGTCATCCCTTAACCTTTTTCATTTAATTACTTAAAATGCTTCACTCTTGAGGGGCTGGCCCCGTGGCCGAGTGGTTAAGTTCGCGCGCTCCGCAGCAGGCGGCCCAGTGTTTCGTTAGTTCGAATCCTGGGCGCGGACATGGCACTGCTCATCAGACCACGCTGAGGCAGCGTCCCACATGCCACAACTAGAAGAACCCACAACGAAGAATACACAACTATGTACTGGGGGGCTTTGGGGAGAAAAAGGAAAAAACAAAATCTTTAAAAAAAAAAAAACAATGCTTCACTCTTGGGGGCCAGCCCGGTGGCGCAGCGCTTAGGTGTGCACGTTCCACTTCAGCTGACCGGGGTTCACCAGTTCAGATCCCGGGTGCAGACGTGGCACCGCTTGGCACCCCATGCTGTGGTAGGTGGCCCACATATAAAGTAGAGGAAGATGGGCATGGATGTTAGCTCAGGGCCAGTCTTCCTCAGCAAAAAGAGGAGGATTGGCAGCAGTTAGCTCAGGGCTAATCTTCCTTAAAAAAAAATAAATAAATAAAATCTTCACTCTTGAAATCCTTATTTAAACAAATGCTGACAGATCTTTAGTATGACTGCTTTAAAAAAATACACTTAAAAAGAAAGATGAGGGGCAGCCCCATGGCCAAGTGGTTAAAGTTACACATGTTCTGCTTTGGCGGCCTGGGTTCGTAAGTTCAGATCTGGGGCGCAGACGTACTGCACTCGTCGGCCATGCTTTGGTGGGTCCCACATACAAAAGATAGGGGAAGACTGGCACAGATGTTAGCTCAGGGCTAATCTTCCTCAAGCAAAAAGAAAAAGACGACAACGACTGGCAATGGATGTTGGCTCAGACAAATCTTCCTCAAGCAAAAAGAAAAAGACGACAAAGACTGGCAATGGATGTTGGCTCAGACAAATCTTCCTCACCAAAAACAAAAAAAAAGGGAAAGATAAACGTAATCATCTGTAATATCAACATCCAGAGATAGCCAATATCACTTGTGTGACACATAATACATAATTAACATCAAATTAATAATTTTCATTCCACTTTTGAACTTGAAATGCCAGAAAAAAATTCTAATACCACCTGATATCCCAAAAATATTAAACTCTAATGTCCTATGTGGGGGATCACAATTGGCCACCCCAAAATGTGCCTCTTTGGCTTGATTATTTTCAAGAATAAAAGACTGAAAAAAGCTTGTCCTCCTCCCTAACTGCCTAAAAGAATTTAAAATAGAAGGGCCTGTTCCAGGAAGGAGCTAATACCATAAGATAACTGTAATGTAATGTAAAATGTATCTCTCAGGTCACATAGTCTATAGCTGGCCCATTTGCATTTCCATCTCCATGTATATTGCCTTCCTTCCCCTTGAAGGAAGGCAAACTTCCCTCAACTTCCTTCAATGCTTCAAACATAATGACTCAGTAATTGATATAACAAGGAAACAAAGACTCACCAAGGATGCAGAAAATTCTCACCGTACATTTAACCAACTTTACACTGCACCACACCACTGCAGAAAACACTTTTTCAAGCATGAACATTTCAAAATTTAACTAACTACCAGGTGATAGTACAAATATCATACTCAAAAGAATAAAACCAAAAAGTATTTTCTAATAATAATGCAACCATAGCAGAAATCCATAACATAAAGACATGAAAATACCCATGTCCAAGTAGTTCAATTCTAAATAACCCACAGGCCTAAGAAAAACTGTAAGGAAAATTAGAAACTATTTTGAACTAATAAATAACAAACAAAATACCGTACCAAAATCATTAGATGCAGCTAAAAGAAAAATTACAGCCTTAAATGCCTATATTAGAAAAAACAGTTTGCACAGTAATATGTACATCCGAGTTAACAAATTAAAACCAAAGAAAGGTGAAGGACAGAAATTATACAGAGTATAAATTATTAAAATAGAAAACAAAAATAAAGTAGAGAACATAAACAAAGCCAAAAGTTGGTTTTTAAATAAGACTCATAAAATTGATACATCCCTGGCAAGAACTGATCAAGAAAAAAAGGCACAGCACCAATAAGAAGAGTCAGGAATAAAAGATATCACTAAAAATTCTGGGGGCATTAAAAATTAAATATTATACCAATAAATTTGAAAATTTAGATGAAACAGACAATGTCTAGAAGAAGTAGACATATCAAAAGTGATATCTAAAACAAAAACCTGAATAAGGATATAACTATTGAAGTAAGTGAATCAATAGTTTAAAACTTTCTGCAAACAAACAACAGGTACAGATAGCTTCTCCAGTAAGATATTTAAATATTCACCAAAGATATCCTTCCTAGACAACACAAATGCTCCCAGAAAAGGGAAAAAGATGGGACATTCCCCAACTCATCTGATAAAACAATCTTTACAGCAAAACTGAACAAGGTTGGGATAAGAAAAAAAATTATAAAACAGTTTCACTAATGAACACAGATGCAAAAATTCTAAACAGAGTATCAGCAAAGCAAATAATATAGAAGAGGATATACATGATGACCAAGTTTAGTTTACATAAGGCATGCAAGTAGGGCAAGCAACTGTACTAGTGGGGTTTCCTAGAATGCTGACTGTGCAGTGATAAGACTAGGTTATTCCTGGGCAAATCAGAACAGTTGGTCACCCTAAGTGCAAAGTTGACTGACTTTTTAATGTTAAACAAACGTAATTATTCACATTAACAGAATGAAAAATTCGTATCATCTCAGATGCACAAAAATTTTGGAGAATACTCAACTCACATTCCCGACTAAAGAAAAAAGTCCTCTTAGGAATCTGAGAATAGAAATTTATTTCCTTGAATAATAAAAAGTACCTACAAAAAACCTACAAAAAACATCATACCTAAATGG